TGAGTGATTTTGTAATTGATATAGTATTTGAGGCTACTTGAAAAAATTTTGGTAGTTTAAAGTTTTTTTCTCACCAATATCATAGTAGTGACTTGCTAGCAAACTGCCAGATCTTGTATACTATTATACGTAAAATAATGCAATTTTTTTTATCACACTAGCAGGGCCAAGAACATCTTTGGTGAAGTACTCGAAAAACTGAGGTATTTTACCAGAGTGTTCATAGATAGATGTGCCTGCTCATGAAGATTAAGCAAAAAACAATAGAGAATTAAAGCAGAAAACGAAAACACTGCTTATATGCCCTTCTGTCCCCACCATCCCCAATCTTTCCTTCAGCAGGGTTTGGTGATAATTACATTAGACTATTTTTATTCATCCTGTTTTTAAAAGCTTTGTTTCCGACTATGAGGACAAATTTGTATTTGAGAATTGGATAATTGAGGTATTTTCGTTCTTTGAAGTTAAATTATAAGTTTGTTCCCAATTTCAGTTCCTTCGTTTATAAAATAAGGAATTTAGATTAGAGTCTAAAAGGTCCCTTCAAGCTTGAATAATATGTGATTTTGTGATTTAAGTAGACTTCTTAATATTAAAATTTTGACTCAATATAACAAAGATATTTGTTGATTTAACTAAAATACCAGTATCACAGAAACATATCACATCTGTAGATCTGCCCTTAATTTAAAGATATTTGAAGTTTTAGGTAATTTTTTTTTAATTTTACATTACAAAGGACTTTTTTGCTTCATAAAATTTTTGAAACAGGGTTCCTTTTAAATAATCACTTTCCCTGAATGCTTTAAAAACTATCATTTGGTTTACAATAATTTTATTTACATAAAACTTGTTTTGCAATGCATATATGTTGCAAATTGAAGTATATCTCTTTAGAATTTTGAGAAAATACCTTTTATTTGTGCAATGCTTTACAATTAATAGAGTTAACATTATCTCATTTAATTCTCACAAAAGCCCATATCATTAGGGGGGTTATACACACCCCTTCCTTTTATTTTGCTTTGGATAAACAAACTGGATCAGAGAGGTGAACTGATTGTCCAAAAACCTCTGTCAAGTGACTGAATGAGAACCCGTGTGTTCTGATGCCTTCTCTGGTTGGTTCTCTTTCCACTGTACCATGAAAAGATGTTCATTTTCTAATTTGCTGCCTCTTGTTCCCCACAGTTCTAAGGAATCCAAAAATCATTGAAAGCCTTACAGATTTGGACAAACTGAACAAACTCTCTAAGATGATCTCATGGCACAGAAGAAATGCAAGGAAGCTGGCATTTGTCAGCTGTCCTCCTCTTTCATATATTTGGAGGCTCTTTGGAGAAATGCTACATTAATATTACTGTAACCATGTCAAAATTTTTGACTCCTTCAACTGCTCAACTTCCTTCAGAAATTTGCATTCCAGAAACATAGCTTTGCTTTTAAATTCATTCATTCATCTGATAAGAGAAATTAGCACTTAATTAGCACTGTACATTGACTATTTTATCATATGGAAAAATTTGTCAACCTAGTTGATTCTGACTTTAAAACACCAAAGATCCTAGTAGATATTAAATAGAATGGAGAGACTTTAAATTCTACATTGTTTGAATAAGGACTTGTCCAAAGAAGCACAGTTGAAGTCCTAGTTTACTGACTTTTTTTTTTTATTGTTTGGTATAAGTAGTGAGCATTAGCATATTGTGTGTGTGTGTGTGTGTTTTATATGTGTGTATTCTATGAAAATAAGAGCAGAAGATACTTTGGGGATATACATATACAGATGCTAACATACTTTGCAAAATATATCAGATTAGAATGAGTAGAGGTTAATTAAAGTAATTTAATGTCTCTTAAATGGACACTATCAAATGCTAATTTACAAGTTTATTTTCTCTATTATACTGATGAAAAAAATGCCTTTTACTATTAGCTTAAAAATTTCAGTTGAAGCTATTTTCAGCTTTTTGACTAGAGTAAAATTAGGGTTTAAATTTGTGGGTTGTCTGTAGGCCAACAAGAGATTAGCAAGGCTGGTAACCAACAAAATAAAAAATGTACACTTGGAAGTTATCCAGAGGTTTAGTTCTGAATTAAATTGAAATGACAAAGGTAGATTTTAGAATAAGTCTGATTAGATTTTTAAATTCGTGTTTTCTTCATTGCTTTCTTTTTTAGTAGTAGATGGAGAGCCAATCTCTGAGCTAGGAAGACTCGGGTTGAATGCCTCTGACATATACAGGTGTGTTAACTTGGACAAATCACTTAATCTCTCAGTGTCGCAGGCAACTTGTTAGGACTATAATTTGCAGAACATTTGTGGATCTATGTTAGAGAGGGAGTTTTCTCACTGGAAGTTCCTCACAAATCCACATAGGGAATTTCTCCTGAAACCACAGGTCTAAACCAAAACAAAGATTGATAAGTCGTAAAATTGGTACGTTATATTCTTTGTCAATCCAGGAAAGATTCACAAATATCACTATAATGTGGCTATTTAATAGTGATTATTATAATAATCGGGCTATTTATAAATTGCTAGATAAAGGGATAAGGAATAGATAAGTAGCCTTGGCTTTCACAGAATTTTTATAAAACCTACAAAATTTTACTGCTTAGTATGTCACAGTTATATAAGCTTGTGCGTTTTTGCCACCAAGTTATTATATGTCACTTTCCATAGAAGTCAGATTTTGTATATAAGCTCTTCGATAGTGTCCTTTTAAACCTGACCTTTTCTTCATTGATTACTATGTGCCTTTTTGTGTGTTATACTTGCTGAATGTTCCTTCTGGTTGATAGATTGTGTTGGTGAATAAGAAATATATCAGTTATCTATCAATATTGTTATGTTTTAGTGAATTTTATGATTTAGCTTGTCTGCAGGTCAGGCAATGATTTTTGCAATTTATCTGAGGTTTATGTAGGTAGACTGGCACCAAGTGCTACTACTAAAATTCATTTTTATGATTTCAGCATCATAATTTCTATTTTCATTATAGCCTTATAGGTACCATGAATATACCTACTAGGCATATCTCTCAAAGGTAATCTTCCAAATAAGAAAAGTCCTTTTTAGTTTATCAGATGGTCTGTTTATCATAACTACATAGTTCTGAATTTAGCAACTGCCATACACACCATCTTGATGTAGTTGAAATGGAAAACGGAGTTATGTTTGGAAATTGTAGTGTTTTTTTAGATGTAGCAATATCCCATTGGTCAGACAACTTGAGTTGATAAGCTCAGGAAGAAATATAAATCTTTGTAAATGCCAGTTTCTGAATTATTTTATGATCAGTGCCAAATTTAGAATATTTCAAAAAATCACAGTGTTTATTCTGGAAAAGTAGCATTTTTCAAAAATATAAACTGTTTAAATAAATTTGTTACTTAGGTTGAATTAT